AATTATTAACTATTCAAATTTTGTTCCATAACTTATAATTTTCGATTTACTTTAACTCTCCTTGTCTGTTTCGTTAATTTTGTATTTTCATTCAAAATGTGCAATTAATCAATTATAAGAAAGATTAATATGAGACAATGAGATGTATTATTACTAATTTCTTTATACTTTGTTCTTATTATTTTTTTAATTATAATAAAACACATTCATTTCACAAGAATTATTAGTTTCAGAGTCATTCATTGCACATTATTACAATTTAATTATTATTATCATGTTATTATCATTACTATTATTATTATCATTATTATTGTCATTCTTGTTATTATAATTGTCATTATTATTATCATTGTTGTCATTATTATTACCATTATTTTCATTATTATTATTATTATCATTATTGTCATTATTATTATTAATTATTATTATTATTATCATTATTATTAATTGTTTTTATTGATAAATCATTATTATCATCATCATTATCATCATCGTCATCATCAAGCACCATCATTATCGTTACCATTATCACTATCATCATCATTTATTACCAATATTGTCATTATAATTTCATTATTTTTGATGTTATTGCTTATTGTTTATTATATTATTAATATTAATTATTTACTATCATACACGTAATCATAATTAGCTTACACTTATATGAAACTCTTTGATGTGTTTCCCACGAGTTGAAGGATTTTTAAATTTTAAAAGATATTTCAGAAAGCCGCATATCGAATACATAGTTTAAAAGGATTAAGTGCAATGCAAGCCTATAATCAAACAATCAAAGCGTTGAAGAAGTTAGCTAAAAAGTTGGGATTAAAATATCCCACAATGGAAAATGCTAAATGGACATTTTGGGGATCGATCTTTTATTCACTTACTGTTTATACAACTATTGGTAAGACAAATAGTAATCATTCGATTTGTTCAATTTTTTAATCAATTGACGATATGATCAGTAATCATTTGACTCCTGAAATACAAACAATAATCATTTAATCTTTAGAATGTGATCAACAACCATTTAACTTTTAATGTATGAATTATCATTAGTAACAAAAAACAAAAATCGTTTCAGTTTTCAATTACTGCATTTCAGGTTATGGTAATATTTATCCAGTAACGGCAATTGGACGTTTGTTGACGCTAATTTACGCGTTCATTGGCATACCGTTAACATTATTCTCACTAATCGCATTAGGCGGCTCATTCGCACGATTTTGCAAAATGTTGTGGATGATGTTAGCCAAAACATTAGCTCGATCATCCCGATTGGTATCGGAAGATATTGAAAAGCATATTGTAAGGATGAATTTAGTTAATTATTGATTTTTGTTCGAAAAATGCTATTAGAAATTATCGGGAACAGAGATGAATATCGATTTTTATTACGAAAGTAGTGTTTCAAATTACCAGAAATATGTAAATAGGGTTAATATTTTGCCCAATTATTGATGGTTAATATTTTGGCCAATATTTGCTACTATTTAGTCTTTCAATGACAAAAATTTGAGATTTTTTTTTCTAAAGTGTTACATTACATCTGTGTAATAAATGATTAAAAATTTCAGTATTTCAAAGATACTTATTATGTTATGGCCACTAACAATTATCATTTTATTATGGCATTTGAATCAAATTTACAATAATCAATCAAATGGAAATTTTTTAAAATTTAATTTAAATTAATGCAAATACTGCGTGCGTTAGCAAAGAAACGCCTTTGACATTTTTTACTTGTATTGATGAAAATCTAAAATGTTCCGATCAATTGTGCAATCAATAAAATTTGAATCGATAATTAATATGCTCCGCTATTTTGTTATTAATTATCAAAATTTTTGTACCGTTGCGAAATTTCAGACATTTTCCTACTGTGCTTCTTTTTAGTCATTAAATAATATATACAGGATATGAAAGTTAACATTTTATTTGAAGTGAAAAAATTCTAATTTGACGGTTAATTGAATTAAGTAATTAATAGTTTGGAAACGAAGAATCAGTCTTTTTTCCTCATCTTTCCCATTTCTTCTTTCAGGAAAGAAAAATGACATTATCAGAAGCTGATTTGGACGAAAATGAGCAGTTACTCAAATTTCCGGTATTCGGTTTAATTTTGATAACGGTTCTTTGGGCATTCATTTGTGCCGAATTATTTCTCATTTTCGAAAATGATTGGTCCTACGGTAAATAAAATTTCACTATCAATTGTTATTTAAATAATTCAAAATTTGCAGCAATATCGAAATAAGTGCTATCTTTTACTTTAACTTTTTCAAATCATTCATTTTCAGTAATTTTGAAATCTAGAATATAATTTATTATATTCTAGATTTCAAAATACTTAAGATATAATTTATTTCTTTTTCCAGTAAATTATTTATTAGTTTTGTATGTTTGAAGAAAAGAAAAAAGTTAATTGATCAGAAAACATAACATTTTGATATGTTAATGCAGAATCTATGCTAATCGACGTTTACATTTACATAGCGTAAACTAACTTTACATCCACGCTAATCCATCGCTAATCAGTACATGAAAATTAATTTTATTACTTTTGAGGCACATCACTTTATTTCACATTAATATCATTTACAACTATTGGATTTGGCGATGTTTTGCCCGGTGAACCGAATTATATTGCGCATATTTCCTTATGTCTGTTAATTGGTCTTGCATTGGTCTCAGCTGTTATCAATGTTATACAACAGCAAATTGAAGCATTAGCTACGGTAATTAATTGATCAATTTAAGCT